GTGATGATACATATTTATAGGCCTAAAGGAAGTTTCTAGAGGGACTAAAATTTATTTTTTAATTTCTAATCCTTACTTTTTTCATTAATGAAACAATATAATATTTCCAAAGCTTGATCCCGGGAAATTCAATATTTCTAGGACTGTCATTTTCTAAATTTTGGGCTTGGGCTCTCAAAAAATAAAAATACGGGCCACATCTTCAACTAATAAGGGTCCATGGAATTATATAACTGACAGAGACACTTACAGAATCCATTAGCATTTAAATTCCACAAAATCTTATCACAAAGAAGATGAACATGTCTGTCTGTCTTATTCACTTCCCATATGTAATCACTGCAAAATTATTGTCACACTCTTCATCTTCCCATACACCAGCTGTTACTAAGCATTAAATACTCCTCTTACTTACAATATAGATCCTGGTAATTCTCACAAAAACCAGTACAATAACTCTGGATCAAAGATGATCAAGAAAAATTAGTACGGTCATGTCTTCTGCGGATCCAAAAAAATATTATTTATGTCCATACATTTAGTGATAGGGTTCGGAGACAGTCTCCCAAATTTTTTTTTTAAAGAAAATTTTAAATGTATTAAAAAACAAAAATTATAAATAAAAAAAGAAAAAAATTCAACTTAACATAAAAGATTATTTCCAACACATTTTTTTTAATCAAGCTGATTTGTTGTATGGCTTCATAAAATATCTAATAAAATATATGGCATCCCATTCCATCCCACCGTATTCCATTCATTTCCATTTCATCTCTCATTGTATATCCAAACAAAGCTTAATCTCTCATTGTATATCCAAGCAAAGCTTAATCTCTCATTGTATATCCAAGCAAAGCTTAATATAACCAACATTATGCTTTACTAATATGTTTAAAAAACCAAAACCAAAAAAAAAAAAAAAAACAAAATTTCAGATTTTTATGTCCGCACTTGGGACAGAGACGACCAAGTAGGTCCGCCGTTGATCCTAAGTAAGTTTTCACCTCAACCATCCACACTAAGCAAAAACATTCACCTTTTCTTCTAAAAATAAAATGGCTTCCACTCACAACCTCTTGATTCTTGTTGCTTTGGTAACTACTGCATTGATACCATCAACATCTGTGATTGAGTCCAGATTGCTCTCCAATCCATCCACCAAGAGCCTTGTAACTAGGATGAAGATAGAGGATGTAACAGCCCCAAACCCTGTAGCAAGATATTGTCCGCTCTGCCCCGCGCACAAGCACCGTCGAGCTCACGGTTTTACGTTTCGGGTTACTCCAAAATGCCTCCTACAAGGAAAGGTATTCACACCTTTATATAAGGCATGCTTTGGTAACTACTGCATTGATACCACCAACATCTGTGATTGAGTCCATATTGCTCTCCAATCCATCCACCAAGAGCCTTGTAACTAGGATGAAGATAGAGGATGTAACAGCCCCAAACCCTGTAGCAAGATATTGTCCGCTCTGCCCCGCGCACAAGCACCGTCGAGCTCACGGTTTTACGTTTCAGGTTACTCCAAAATGCCTCCTACAAGGAAAGGTATTCACACCCTTATATAAGGCATGCTTCGTTCCCCTCTCCAACCGATGTGGGACATTACATCCTCCTCCACTGGGAATACAGCGTCCCCGCTGTACACACCGGTCCAGGGCCAGGCTCTGATACCAAATGTAACCGCCCCAAATCCTGTAGCAGGATATTGTCCGCTTCCTCTCGCGCACAAGCACCGTCGAGCTCACGGTTTTAGTTTCGGGTTACCCCAAAAGGCCTCCTACTAGGAAAGGTATCCACACCCTTATATAAGGCATGCTTCGTTCCCTTCTCCAACCGATATGGGACATTACAGAGGTAAGTCCTCAAATTGTTGGGAATCACTGTTTCAGCTCCAAGCATGCAGTGGTGAAATAATAACATTTTTTCTCAATGGTGAGACTTACTTAGGCCATGGTTGTTGCCAAGCAGTTAGGGTAATTGGGCATGATTGCTGGCCTAAACCTAACATTGTTAAAACTTTAGGGTTCACAACTGAAGAGACTGATGTATTGGAAGGGTATTGACGTATAATGATGAGGCTGTTCATTCACCTCCACCACCAGAACCACTCTCTGAAGTTAAGACAGAAGCAATAGTTCCATAAGGAGAATTATTATTTTGGCATTGCTGCTTTCCAATGAATAAATAATAAAGGTGAATTTATTTTTATTTTTTATTTTATTTTTTTTTAATGTTGCCACACATCCGTACACTCACTGAGAAACACAACTCTGTTTTTGAGTTGTTTTGATGTGTACTAAATTATGAAACAATGATATGATATACATGTAGGGTTGTGTTTTTTTGTGTCCTAAGGATTGTTACACGAGCATTTCCTTACTTAATTTTTACTCGTTGGTTCATGTTTTGTATTGAATGTACTGAATGTGAAACGTTGATAATTAGTATGGTATTGTTGTAGGTGTTTTGATGGCAATATATTTTCTTGTTAAGTACCACTAAACTAAATAAAAAATAAATAAAACCCATTTTAAAATTTATTAGAACTTTAGGTTCAAGAAAAATAAATAAAAGAAAAGAACATCTCAAATACAACCCTTACACAATTTTCAAATATGCCTCAAATCTTTATTGGTTACAACTTACAAGCCCATTCTTCCGGTTTATCATACACATATAAATATATTTTATTTTAAGAATTAAAAACAAGGGATAGGATATTGTGATACCCAAGTTATGTTACACCAATGTGACACCCAGTCAATCTTACCGTTAGATCGCTTATGTTGATCCAACTGTTATATTTATTTCCATCTTTGTATGGTCATGATTTCCCAAAATTAATATTTTATATTATTTCTACCTTTGTATGGTTATGATTTCTCATATTTAATGCTTTCACTTTAAATTTGGGAAATCATGACCATACAAAGATGAAAATAAATATAACCGTTGGATCAACATAAGCGATCTAACGATGAGATTGACTGGGTGTCACATGGGTGTAACATTATTTGTGTGTCACAATATCCCATCCCTAAAAACAAATCTACATTTTTTATCATTTTTCTTTTAACAATAAAATCCTCCATTATATTGGATGAGTGGAGTAAACGACGGTTTTGTATTAGAGAATGATATTTACGCAATATTTTATAATTTTCTTTCGAATTTAATTATAGCATCATTTATGACTAGTAACCACTCAGTTAAAATAAGTAATTATTCATTTAAGTAAGTTATTAGTAATTTTTTATAGTTATTTTTGTATGTTTGGGGAAATAATGCGTGATTCTTTTCTCTAAATAACTCTCGTGTACTCATTTTAAATAATTTGAACTTTTCATATTATTAGGTAAGTATTAATTTTTAAATGTCCTTAACATTAATTGTTGCAAAGAGAGTATTTGTGTATGCTGATAGAGCAACGAGAGAATTCAATTATCAAAATGATTTAAAAATAGTGCAACACAAAGATGAAAAAAAAAAAATCTTATTAGCTCCGTTTTCCTTGATTATTCCATTAAAAAAATGTTTACCTTGGTCCTATATTTTAGGTAAACTATACAATATGTAGCATCGATCCACTCTTTTTCTCTACCTATTAAAGCAATTAATTAAAAATAATGTTTACTTTGAACATATTGTTTGGTAAATTATATATGTATGTGACTTCAAATAAGAGCTATATAAAGAAGAATGTTAGGCACCCCAGGAAGACACCAATGCGTGCAGGCCATGTGATGGTAACTTGGTGATCCATAAAGTGAAGGATGTCCAACTTTTCTGATTGGGAAACCTTCTCTAGAATCATCTCTGAGCTAATATCATGAAATACATACCAAGTTAGCATATTTACTCAATACTATGTTCTATCAATAATGATTGATTTAAAAAAAAATTGTGACACTGGTTCTCAGGGTTGAACCCGCCTTAGAATTGTGCAAAATTTTTGAAGACTATTCGAGCTTCGTATAAAATTAAGAAGTTTTATTTTTTATCTCCGTAATTGATTTCCGTTACATAGATATATATATATATATATATATATATATATATATATATAATTGTTATAATTATTATATTATTGTAGTTATTGGATATTTCTATATATCTAGTTTAATTGGTTAAGCTATTTGAATATTACAGCAACACAACTTGTTTCAGTTTAACCAGTAATAAGTTGAAGTTCAACATGTACATCATTATCCAAAGTCCAAACAGTTGTTTCCATTCTCAATGGAGTCAAGATTCCATACCCTCCCTCTTTTCTCCTCTGCCATGTCAACCAAAAAGGGGTTGTGGTTGAACATGATCGAAATGATGTGAGCCTGCGACTTATGTGTAGTAACACTAAAAAAAAAAAAAAAAAACCAAAAAGGAGGAAACATCGGTTTTTGTTGAATTCAATTATTCAAGTAAGAACTTAGAATAAAATAAATAAATAATATTTTAAATTTACATTTGAAAAGTTCACTAAAAAAACGTTGAGTTAGACTCATGTTTATGAAAATATATTTTGTTGGAATAGTGAGACCAAATCTATCGAACACTGTACTATTAAGAAATGAAGAAACGAAAACTCCTCACTTAATAAATTATATAAAAATAAAAATAATTTGTTCTATCCTATTTAGCACAAACAACCTTTGGTGTCCAAATTAATTTTTGTAAAATTTGATTTCCAATCAATGGACGTACAGGCATAAGTTCAAGCTTAATTGTTACTAATGGCCCATCCAAAAAAAAAAAAAAAAAAACGGAGACACATGGTCACATAGACATTCGGAGAATCAATTGGCATTTAAATTCCACAAAAACTTGATCAATGCAGGGAAGATGAATATCCACTTCCCATATGTAACCACTGTAAACTTATTGTCACACCCTTCATCTTCCCCAATACAAAAACTGTTTCTAAACATTAAACACTCCTCTTACTATATAAACCCTGAGCAAGTTTTCTCCACAACCATCCACACTAAGCAAAAAATATGGCTTCCACTCAAAATCTCTTGATTTTTGTTGCTTTGGTGACTACTTTATTGGTCTCGTCAGAATCTGTGGCTGAGTCCAGATCACTCTACAACCCATCCACCAAGAGTCTTGTAACTAGGTTGAAGCTAGAGGGTGAGCCCTCAAATTGTTGGGAATCACTGTTTCAGCTCCAAGCATGCAGTGGTGAAATCATAACATTTTTTCTCAATGGTGAGACTTACTTAGGCCATGGTTGTTGCCAAGCAATTAGAGTAATTGGGCATGATTGCTGGCCCAACATTGTTAACACTTTAGGATTCACAACTGAAGAGACAGATGTATTGGAAGGGTATTGTGATGAGGCTGTTCATTCACCTCCACCACCAGAACCACTCTCTGAAGTTAAGCCAGAAGCAATAGTTCCATAAAGGAACAACTATTTTGACATTGCTGGTTTTCAATGAATAAATAATAAAAGTGTCTTTTTTTTATTTTATTTTTTTATGTTGCCACGCATCCTTACATTCACTGAGAAACACAATTCTGCTTTTGAGTTGTTTTGATATGTACTAAACTATGAATCAATGGTATGATATACAAGCAGGGTTGTGCTTTTTTGTGTCCAAAGGGTTGTTACATGAGCATTTCCCTTCTTAATTTTTACTTGGCTCATGTTTGGTGTTGAATCTGAAACGTTGATAATTACGAGGGTATTGTTGTAGGCGTTTTGGTGGCAATAAATCACCTTGTTAAATACCATTAAACTAAAATAAAAAATAAATAAAACCTATTTTAAAATTTAATAAAACTATAGCTCCAAGACAAAAAGAAAAGAAAAGGAAAAGAACATCCCAATTCCCAAACCAACCCTTACACAATTTTCAAATATGGCTCCTCTAATCTTTGTTGGTTACGAGCCCATTCGTCGAGTTTACATTACACATATAAATTATTTTATTTTATTTTATGTTTTTGATAAGTAAAAATAAAATAAAAATAAATACATTTTTAATCATTTTTCTTTAGAGGCAAAGTTTAATATACCCAATATCCAAAAAAAAAAAAAGTTTTATATACCCCCTTCTATTCTAGCGCACTTTGATCTTGAAACTTAAAATAATGCTAGTTGATCTTGAAACTTAAAATAATGCTAGTTGAACAAGTTAGAGAAAAGGACTAAAATGCATATTGTAGAAAGTTTATGGGTGATCTTACACATTTACAAAACTGATAGCATAATTAAGCTGGTCCGGGTCGACCTGTTAACCCGGTCTACTTAGGCCAAGTCATAAAACTCGATCGGATTGTATATTTGGTTTAAATTTATTTATTTTTTAAACCCGAACCTGATTATACTTTTATTGGGAAGCAAAGCGCACACAACCCTAAATTGAAGACGGTAAATTGAATTTTTTCTCAAAATTATTAGATGATGTGTTCTTGCACATGCTATCTCTCTCTCTCTCTCTCTTTTTTTTTTTTTGTATACAATCTCTCTTTTGTTTTTTTAATATAACGTGCTATCTCTTTTTACTAATATTTTTATGTCGAGATAAACCCAAACTGTGAAAAGAGAATAACGAGATAGTTTCACCAAAAAAATAAAAATAATGAGAGGTTACAAAAAAATTGATAGTAGAGAGAGCTCCGGTCCTGAATATGGAGTAATTGGCGGTAATCGCGGCGGAGTAAAGCATACATGCAATACCGCTACTGCATGCAGCTAGCCAATGCGCGCATTTCAATGTGCCTTTCTGGCTTCTTAGATATACCGAAAGACTTTCGTTTTAAAACTCACTAAAACATTACAAAAAAACAAAAAAACAAAAACTCGCTAAAATATGAGAGTAATATGTAATGGAATCAATTAACATATACTCATTGCGTTTCAAAACTTTAGCTTTGTTAATTATTAATAGGAAGGGATACGTTTACAACTTTTTTTGTTTGTAACTCTTACAACCTCAACTATGTTCTCTTGGGAGAACATAGAGTTCTAAACAAAAAAAAGTTAAACGTAACCAGCCTCATTATTGATATATTTAATTAATTGATTTTTTTTTATTAATTGTTTCGTGATTTATTAAGCATTTCTCTGTTTCTTCTTCCCTCTTCACTAATCTTGGCGTATTCAATTCAATAATGTGAAACCGACATTTTAATTTAATTTAATAATACCGATATAAAATATAATATGACATACCATATTTGATGGGCCTATAAAAAATCAATATTGATTTGTTTTATTGCTCGAATAAGAAATGTATGTTCTTTGGGGATACATTTTATTTGTAATACTATTAAACAATAAAAATAAGATTATGCACTTAATCTTGAATGAGAATCGCATATAAAAGCTCATTCCAAGTATCAGGAACACCAGGTAGGCACCAGTGGCTGCAATCCATGTCCCTGTGTCCTCCAGATCCATAAACAGATGGGTGGCCATCTTTCCTCATCTGTGATAGGGTAGTAATTTTGAGCAAATGCACAGGCTTTTTCATGGTTCCTATCACTTTCTCTAAAACCAACTCTGCTGGGTGTGGACCTCCTGGGTACTTGAATCCCAACACTGGCCTAGTTTGTCCTTCACAGGAGTTTGCTCCTGGTTCTCCCCATTCCTTAGCACTGGAGCAATAACAATTCAGACAAAAGTGAATTCCAATTCTAACTCCAAACATTTATATATTAATTTCTGATCAATTTATACCCATATAAAAATAAGAACACTTATATCCTTTATTAACCGTAACGATTTACGTGAACTTTCATCTCTAGAAAATTAAAACCGTTAAATGCAACGAGAATTAATAATTTATAAAGATTTTAGAACTCTTACTCTTACAGTGGTATATGTTAATAGCTCCCTGTATATCTTCCCCATATATATAGTACAGGTTTAATTTTATAATGACAACATACCTTTTGTAAATAATATTGTTTCTACGGGAAACTTTATTTTCACACATTGTGATTGTGTAACATATCATTTAACCTCCTTTGATTTTAAACATATTACTTACATTCATTGTGGTGAAATATTTTATCATTTAATCTCGTGTGATTTCAATTTTTCACTTAGACCACTTGTGGTTATAAAAAATTTCAACTAGGCCCCTTGTGATTTAAAAAATAAAAATCTAAATATCTAAATATTTAAAATAAATTTTCTCTCTCTTTTTATTTTATATCCTCATCTAATGCATTTAAAGTTTAAAAAATATTTCAAGTTATTTATTCTGAAATTAATTTATACATTATATTATTTTTTATTCATTTTAAAAATATATTTGAAATTAAAAAAATTATTTTTTAATAAAAACTAAATATGTATTATCAAAATAAGATATTTACTTTCTTTAGATAATTTTATAACGATATCAGATAAAAACAGATAAAATAAAATAATATTTGATTTGAATTTATTTTCTTGATAAAAATAAGTGATTTTTTAATATTTTATTCTATTTTTTAAATCATAAATGCATTAGGTGACGATATAAAATAAAAAAGAGATGTTCTCCAAAACAAAAGAGGGAAAATTAATTTTAATATTTAATTTTTAAAACCTTTATTTTTTGTAACCACAAGGGATCTAAGTGCAAATTTGAAACCACAGGAGGTTAAATGATATATTATTTAAGCACAATGAGGTCTAAGTGATAAATTTAAAATCATAAGGGGTTAAATAATAAATCAAAAAATTACAATGGGCAAAAATGAAATTTTCCCTTATTCTTATAAGATAATAGTGTTGGAAATTTAAGTGTGAATGATAAAAAGTCGTGCATTAAGAAGTAATGAGTTAAGGATAATACATATAAATGATAAGATCCATTAATCCAATAATTTAAAATTGGGTTTAATGTTTCTGCTTTTCTACAGAATTTTTTTTTTTTTGCCACACTCACATAAAAATGTGTGGCTCCCATTATAGAAAGAAAAGAGAGAGAAAATTAATAGTGAAATTCACTCTTTTTTATGTGAGCGTGACAAAAAAAAATTTCAGAAACATTTTTTCAGTAAAGATGTTGTATCAGATTCATTTATTAATTATGGATTTATTAATTAAACCTATTGATGGGTGAATAGAGAAATTCCTGATTTGGGCTTGTCAGCCGTTGCCCAACAAAAAGTGGGCTAACTCACTAAGGGTACGTTTTCAATTCACTCCCTCGTGACAATTGCCGATAAGTTAAAAGTTACTTTTAAGCTAATAAAGTTAAAAAAATAACTTAAAAAAAGAGTTAAAATTTGTTTGATAATTACTTAAAAATTTAAATTTAAAAGTTATTTAGAAGCTCAAACCTCGTTTCAAGAAAAACTTATAAGAGCTTAAAAAAAAAAAAAAAACTCCTCCTAAGAACATTTGGTTTTTGACTTTTGGTTTTTCTTTCCTTATAATTTTTTTATTTTATTTTAAGAGCTTTTGTAAATATTTATTTGACCTAACTTTTGTTTATAAAGAGAAGAGAAGTTAAAAGAGAGAGATCCAAATAGGTACAAAGATTAAAAAGTTACAAGAAACCAATTAATCATCTTTCCAACCTAACGAAAAGGCCATCTATATGCAGCACTATAGTTCCATGCGTATGCTCAAGCTCATCACAATACATTGGACTATGATTATAGCATGAAGGGTTACCTTTCATAAAATTATAATTATAAAGATTTTGTTTACATTATAATATAGTTTAAGGTGAAAGCATAAATTCAAAATGAATAAAAAAAAATGGCCCTGAAGAAATTGATATAATAATTTTGTAATTCTAATGTCATTATAGTCAATTCATTAAGTGGCAGCAGACACTTACTTGATATGATCCGGAGAGACTCCTTGGAAGAATACCCTTGTTTTGGTAGGGTCAACATTGTCATTAACCCATTGGGCCCATGTATTCAATGCTTTCTCATATGCAACCAAACGATCCATGTCTCTGAATGTGCGATGCCCTTCTTGAATGAAATCCCATCTGCAAGCACAAAATATAATGAAAGAAGATTCCGAAAATTAATACAAAGTTAGCGTGTGACATGGGATTAATTAAGAGTGTCTAGCTATGGTGATTTTACATACGGTTGTTCCCTTCCTGAGTGAAGCCACCAATGCCAAGAGTCAAATATCAACACATCTATTCCTTTCCACGTTTGGCCAGCTTCAATTGAATCTAATTTCAGGACTCGACCAATACTTTCGCTAACAATGTCCACCAGAAATGCATTGCGTGAGAACATCAACTTAACACCATAGGCCTGCAAATTATGTGGTACACAAGCAGTAAGTTATGTAATATTTGACAAAGAAACAAGTATCTACTCCTAGTTTGAAATTTAATCCATTATCGGTTAATCAAGATTCTATGCCAAGCGCTAACCAAACAACTTGTTATACACGTCTTGTTTTATATTAGTCAATACCTTTTGCTAT